ATGCTCATCAGGAACCGAACATCTGCTCACAAGCAGGGCTTTCACCTGGCAGCCAAGGTCCAGTCCCTCTTTTTGTGGACTTTAGTTCTATTTTTAATGATATGTTAATGGCTTTTAAGGGGGTGTGGGGGTGGCAAGGCGCACAAGGCTGAAAGCCCCCCATGGTGGATGGATGGACTGTTCTGCTTCGCAAAGTGATTCTAATTTGGATTGGGTTGTGATTTTGAGCAGCGCCCCCTAGTGACTGGCCCCTTAATGGGTGGTGGGGGACACATAGATAACGCAGCCCAGCGGCACCTCGCAGCCGTTTGCTGGAGTGCATCTGTTTATCCGCCCTGACATACGGCTTGTGGCTGTGTAATACTTAACCATTGGCGAGATTAGAGAAACATCATCTGTGTTTACATTCCGTGTTATTAATCACATCCAACGTGAAGAATCGCGTGTCGGTAGCAGCCTGCCAACCAGTATGTTCAGCGATGGCAAGACACTCCGATTAAAAATGGCTAAATGTTGAGAAGATCTGTGCTTCCTGTGCCGAAGTCCAGAGTAGCTGGGGGGGGGGAGACATAGTCACACGGCGGCTTAATCGCACACACAGACGCCGGTCTGAAATTCAGCCACCATTTTCAGTGCAGTTGAGTGTGGCTGCGGGGGTGTGTGTTTTTATTTAATGTAAGGCCTTCATCTTCATAACACCCCAGCCAGCTGGAGCAGATGCTGGCGCTGGCTGCTTAGGCAGAGAGCAATAGCCAATGTGACCCCCCCCCCCCCCCACATCCTGAATATTCCTGTTTACCTCCTGCACGGAAGCGTGAAACAAAGCAGATTCCGAATGAGAGGCGTGTTGGACGAGCTGGAAACGGCGTGCGTGAGCTACTCGCGCGGGAATCGCTCGGCGCGTAAACGGACAGACATCTATCTGGGGGAAGTTGCTGCTCGCTGCGCTGCCCCTCAGAGGCGAAGCATGGGAACTGCGCTGACACAGACTGACACGTACTGCACGCCCGTGTGTGCATTAGTTGGATAAATGGGAGTGTATTTGTCCAAAACTGAGCACGTATAGATAGGGAAATTAGTCACGAGAGAAAACAGTGCCTTAGAGACCCAGATTTCGTCATTAGTCAGTTTTGATGAGATAATAGTTATTGAGACTTATGTTGGACCCACATGTTTCGGTGCCCAGAGAGCTGGGGGGGGGATTAAGGGCCTTGCTCAAGGAGCCGCAGACATGGCGAGGCTGGGCTCGAACCGGCGACCTTCTGATCACCTGCACAGAGGTTTAGCCGCCTGAGCCACATGCTGCCCTAGTTACGGTGTTTTGCAGTTGTGGGGTGGGGGAGTCGGGCAGGCTTCCCTTACCCTTCTCGGTGAGCTTCTCCCTTCTCCAGCTCCTGGATGACGCCCAGTAGGACTTTGATGGTCTCCTGGCTGGAGCTTATCAAGCTCTCCATCACCTGCAGCTGCGCCTTGAGGTCGCCGTCCTGAGCCACGGGTACGATCTGCCGGCAGGCCTGCGGGGCGGCGCCCCCTGCTGGCTTTGCCGCATTCCCGACGGGGCGGCGAGCAGTGTGGCACTGCGCTGGCAGTCCGTTGATGCGCGCCCCCTTCTTGCGCTTGCCGCGTGCAGACGGACTCTCGACGCACTCCACCTGCGTCAGCGAGTTCCAAGTGATGGGCCCCGTCACCCTGGAGCCTGAGTCCTGTGGGGCACTGGCCGGGGGCGGCCCCTCCGGGCCGGGCAGCTGCCGCTTGGCCGGCGGGGTAGAGTGAACCTCCCCAGCGGGGAGCCGCACCTCCTTTACGCTGCAGATCTGGAAGTCGGCCTCCACACTGCAGTTGGAGGCACAGGTGCGGCTGGCGACGCAGCCGGGGAGCAGTGCATCGTCCAGGCAGTTCCGGGCCGGGTGGGGCTCTACGGTGGCGACGCACTGCGCAGTGTGCAGCAGGGCGCGCGTCTTCTCCACTGCCTTCCCGCCACACCGCGCCTCTGCCGCCTTCTCGAACCCGCCGTCGCCGTGCCCATCGCAGGCCTCCGCTAAGGCCGCATGCCCCTTGGCACTGTGCCCCTTCTTGCGCTCAAACGGGAAGGTCTGGTAGCGCCTGCACAGGTGTGGTGACGTTTGCACGCCGGTGCTTCGCGTCACGTTGGGGATGGAGCGGCGTGCCGGCACCGTCATGTATTTGCGGTACGCCGCTCTGCGGGCCGCCGGCCGCCTGCCTCGGCCGGCCGCCTCGCGCTGCTCGTTCTGCGCCTCGCAGATGTCCTTGAAGCGCACCTGCAGGGCCTTGTTCCGCTTCCTCACCTGCCGGCCCGGCTCCGCGCCGCACCGGGCATCCAGGGCCAGTGTCGGGCCGCCCTCGGAGTCGGACTCGGAGTTGGCGATGGCGCCCTTGCTAGCCTCTTTGCTCCCCATGGTTCCTGGAAACAAAGGAGGGGGGATTTCAGTGGGGGGTGGGGGGGCAGAGCCACACACACATGCAAGCACAGCCTCAGCCGCCAGGTACGCTGAGAGCCGCCTGGCGGTTTCGGATGACGAGCAGCTTGCGTGACGCTTACGTTTGTCCCATTTGCTCTGAGCAGTAATAAACCATGATGATGATAAATAAATGGTAACAAATGGTGTGGCTGCCAGATATTTACCGAGCTGGTTTTTTTTTGGGATTTTATCCTCGAGCCCAAGCCCAGCAAATTCTCTGCTCTGCTCTGTACGTAATTTAAACGGTCTGGTAATCGAGTGTAATTGTTTGAAATGCACAGTGCCTTTTAATGCAGTTCTAGTGCAGCATTCTGAAGTGTTCCTCTTTCGAAGGCATTTTGATGCGATCCGAGTCGAAACAGGAAGTGCCTGGCCGACTTCCTGCGTGCCGTTGACCGCATGCCGAATGCAGGGCTGATGCCTGCGACCCGGTTCCCTTGCGCACTGCTGTCGGTGACCGTGCAGAATGTCACCGCCCTAGGGGTCAGTTGTCAAGGGCATGTTTAGAAATGCGTTTAATGCGCTACGTTTAGCAGTGACAAAGGTGCCTTGGTGACGGGGGCACGCCCCTCTGCATTTCGCCAGTGTATCCTTGGTTACCTGCCTGACGTGCATTTGCTCTGCCTGAATCTCTGTGCTGTGATTCCCGCACGTACAGCTCAACCGTAGGTGGCATTTGCCTGACCATTTTGTGCCTGCAGCTGTTTATTCCCTGGGGGGCTCCGGTCTGGGGGGAGGGGATGAGGGCATTTGACCATCAGGGGGGTTTCTCCTCACTTATGTAAGTCGTCTGGCTAAGGCCGTCTGCCAAATGCCGTGAATGTAAATGTCCTCGGTTCTGTGCTGCCGTCGTGTGTGTATGTGCGTGTATGAAAATGGGCTTGCATGATGAAGGTTGTGCTTTAGCGTGATTTAAACATCGCTACAGCACATGCGGTCACACATCTGATGTCGTGACACAGACCCCCGTACATAGACCGCCAGGTCAGCACCTCCAGAGCCCCATTCAGCCTCATCTAAACTGCAGGAGCCGGTGATACTGAAACTCTTTATGAAGGCCTTATCCTGCTTTTTGTGACATCCAGGATCCAGAACCGCTTTTGGTTCATTTTGCTGTGTTAGTAAAGTTTGTCTCAGTCACTCGACAGCAGGCCTGGCAGCAGGCCTACCCGCAGGCCGCGAAATCACATTAGGCAGCGCAAGGATAACACAGCTGCACGCATCCAAAAGCAGAATCTGCGCGCAGTGCGGCATTTCATGCGTGAGACCCTCCGGCATTGCGCGTGTTGTGGCTGCTTCATCGTCTGCATCGTGGTCGGGATCTTGAACCCTCGACCCAGACGGCGCGCATCGTCGTATGCGGGACCCACACAGAGAAGGTGCCGTTTCACTCGCGTGTCGCAGCCGTTCCTTCTCATTTCAGGATGATTTCACGTTCGTGGTCAGACTCTGGAGTGGGTTTGACCGGGCAGTTCTGGATAAGAGCTGCCGTTGCGATCAGACGTATCAGACGGGCTGTGAATATTCTGAACTGTGGTGCCACAAAGTGAATTTTGCAGATTTATTTATTTTTTTCCCCTTTTCGGTGTCAGGGTGGTAAATGGGTCTCGGTGCACGGTTCTGTGATCTGCAGCAGAGTGCGGGGAACGCTACATTCAGACAGTGATTCCCGACAGGGGTGGAGGTTCTAAGTGTCTGTCAAGTTGCCGCGGTGCTGTGTGGCCCCTGTCGTGATGATCTGCGAGAAGCCGTTACACGACGGCGTCGGGCTCTGCAGTGGCAGCCAGGCAGGGTGCCGGTGCTCGTCTGCTTCCGCGGAGACGGGGGCCCGTGTTACCCCGGGAAACGGTGACACTGAGAGCGCGTCTGCGTGTCTGTAGGGTTGTGATGAAGTGGCCTGCGAGAGCAGCCCTAGTCCAGACGCTCTCGCTGCGAGTGTTTGTTTACTGAACAGCTCATAAGCCTCCGGAATCAATAATATCAGAAACCGGAGCCCAAAGCCGCACTGATGGTTGTAAATTTCATTTCTCCCTCCTGAGATTCTCTGAATTTGGGGTTTCTTAGCAACGCCTGGGATGCCTTCCCTCCATCAAACTGCACTGCTTTTTTTTTTTTTTTTTTTAAGGTAATTAACGGAACGATCTTGCAGTTATCGTACCAGTATCGATTCCAGCCGAGTTCTTTGTGGCGCATTTTTCAGGGTTCCTTCTCTCGGCCGACGCCGATACCAGCCGCAGACGCGCAGGCAGAGAATGCAGTCAGCTGAAACACTCGGCGAGATCTATAAAATCAGGCTGCGCTCTAATGGTCTCTACCCTGGTGGCTTTCTTGGGATAAAAGCATTAAACGCTCAATGCGAGTGAGTAAAATGCAGCCCTGTTGTGAAAACAGGTCAGGACGCGATTTACCGTCAGCTCCGCGGCGATCGCCATGTTCAGACGCCGCCTTGATTAATTTTTTCCTCGAGCTGAATTATGCCTCAGCTCTGATTAATAAATGCCTAAGCTTTATTGATTATTTCTATTTGGGAATGCGGTCCTCCACATGAGGGGATTGAGCTTGTGGGAGGTACCATACGCTTCACTGTGGCCAGTGTGGATATCACAGCGAGCCCCAGAGCCCCCCCCCACACACACACACACACACACACACACACACACACACACACATCACATGGCTCCCTGCCTGCCACAGCCCAGGTAAATTTCTCCGTCTCTGGTGATAATGCCCCCAGGGTCCGCTGACCTCTGCAGTGCCCCTCGGCTGAGGAATGGGGGCGCTGTCCTCGGGAGACGCCGCTGCCCGGTGAGAGCGCTGTCCTCGGGAGACGCCGCTGCCCGGTGAGAGCGCTGTCCTCGGGAGACGCCGCTGCCCGGTGAGAGCGCTGTCCTCGGGAGACGCCGCTGCCCGGTGAGAGCGCTGTCCTCGGGA